AAGCCATAAGATAGAAGCATACGAATGAGCAGTCAAATCGTACTACACTTTCAAACCGGCGTTACAGCGTCGAGCGACACAGCGGGAGTAGGTGGGAGAAGCAGCTAATATAAGTCACACCCAAAGTGGTGGGGGGCGCAGTCACTCCATATGTACAACTTCGGTCTCCTTAAGTGGAAATTTTACACTTTCTAAACTTCACCGTACATAATTCGAGCTACTTGTATCTTTCGTAGCAGCATCCCCGTGTTTTTTACTTTCTATGTATAGAATATAGATCGTAGTGTATGTGAATATGGTCAGTACAAATTACGATCCTCGCACGTAAGAAGCTGAAAATATTGCAAATATTGAAAATGTGTATTTTTTTAATAATATAATAATACGAGATTACTAATTAATCGCAGCGGTGACAAAAACTTATACCGATCTCGCACGAGGGAAATCGGATGTTGCGAAAATGCTCGAATGATCCCACGTGTTGGATCGTTAGTCTTTCAGACTGTGGTTTGCGTTATACATAGGTATATATATTCATACGTATAATTTGTGCGACGTTGGATACAGTCAGTTCAAACGAGCGAATCGTTTTTTCTGAGAATATAGAATTAAATAGAGAATAATTCTTGTTACCAAAAGACATTCGTGCTAAAAAATTCTCATGTAAATAACGATTTAACATACGGCATTTAGTATACGAAAAAAATTGAAAATTCGTAATAATTTGCCACAACACACAACGTAGAAAATTATTTTCCTATTATTCATTGAATTTAATAGTTTTTATACGTATTACAATATTTAACAAAAAATTGCATATAATTTTGATTCATCGTATGATCATCCTTGAAGGGTTTGTTACATTTTCGCATCAACTAAGTTGCGCTTTTCAAATCAATAAAAAGTATTATAGTTACCTTGGTAAATAAATTCATTATAAATAATGATCTGACGTACAAAAAATTACTATTTTATAAAGTTTTAAAATACCTTACCGTTGACTCGTTTTTGGTGATTTGTTTTTTACAATTAAGATACTCATATTAATCGCATATTAAATTTCCTAAAAATGAAAATTTTTTAATTGTTCAAAAAATCTAGATGAGTTTAATCTCTTTAATATCTTAATAGTATTTAAAGTCTCGGTCACTAGATGTCGAGTACGGACATCTATAAATCTGCAAGTGGCAAAGAAAAAATAATTGGATAAATCATAGCAAAGCTAGATTTGGGTTCCACTTATGATAAAGAAATTTTTTTATGGTCAAAAACTAGATATAAAATTTTGAAAATTTTAGCCACGTATAATGTTGATTCATAGGAAGAGATTCATAGGAACTTAATATACTTTGGACGATAATGCATCGTGAAATAATAATCGAATTGATTATAACCCTAACGGAAATTTTTCTCATGAGAAAGTTTTATAAAGTCTAAAAAAGTCTTAAAAATTCTTACAAATTTTCTGATTTCATACATCTGATAAATGATTTTAAAGAGTTAATAAGAGTTTTTAAAAAGTATCAAAAACTTTTATCAACACTTCAAACTCTTAATAACTCGTTATAAAAATTATTTTCACTTGTTAACATTTTTCTAAATAAAATAAGCGATTGCCGTACCCGTCCAAATATTTTAGAAACCAAAACTTTTAAAAATCATGGTACGAAATCCGAATGTTTATAAGAATTTTTAAGACTTATTCAGACTTTCAAAGAGTTTTTAAAAGTTTTTAAAAATCAGAGTGGCGATGAATTTCCGTAGGGGAATCAAATAAAAGCTTTCAATTATTTTTCTGTTATCCGAGAATGACAAAGCTGCTGTAATTAGCGTATATATGAAAATGTTCTCATCGGGTTTACCAAATTATCTATACGAAAGTTTTCAAAAAAGCGAATGGAGCTTCGTTGAAATATTCTGCTGACTTGTGCACGGCTTCTCGATGCTGCAGAAGTCATCTCTAAAAATTCTCACTTTCACTCCTGCTGTTGCATTCCTTAAATAGAAATCGTACTTTTGTGAAGTATTTATAAGCTACCGCTTCGCGTACTGCAAGTTTGAGGAAGGGTCGATTATTAGAGACAAAGAAAATCTACGAAAATGTGATTATTTATTATATGCGATAAAGTTAATGTATCAGATTTAGGGTATTTGATTATTATAAATTAAATTCAAACTTTTTGACGTCTAGTTATTGTTACTTTTTAATTTACAATTTGTGAATGGCAGTTTTTCTTACCCCCGATGTACTTATCTCTCGTGCTTGGAACATGTCAATAATGCAATTGTATATAGTTAAGTATTGGAGAAATAATCTGAACGTATGGATTTAATGATTGAAAATGCTGATCTCGTATTATTATATCAAATATGTATGTTAGTACATGTATACATATGTTTATACGAAGTACAAGTACACGTGCTGAAATATATTTTTTATCTATTATAATCAGATTGTCGGTTTAATCGAGCAAAGTTTTTAGGCTACTCAAGCCACCTATATACATGACCCATAAGACGTGCATGGGTCAAATTGAAAATTTCATATTGACTAATTATATCAAGTTCTAGAAAAAAAAAGAATCAACCAAATCTCTTAAAAATAAGTATGCATTAGAAAATTTAATATTTCAGATGTATATATAATTCATATTTTTAAAACCTTTATAAAGTATATCATTGATCGAAGCAAAATACATACTTTTCTACATCATAATAGTTCTTACATCTTTTAATGGCAGGCGCAGTACCTTTTACAATTATTATTATAATTTTTTTTTTTTTGGAAAAACATCGATCTTAATTTTAAGAGGTTCGTTATTATTATTACACATTTCACAGTGAAACATGAATGTCCGTTTAATTTATGTACAGTGATATTTAAGATAAAAAAGTATTTTTATTTGTATCTTGTTTTTTGTTTCGAAGAAAAATAATTGTAAGTAATTTCATTAACAGATGTATAATTATAATTGACACGCATACAGCTTCGTTAAAATACTAGCCCAGATATCTTTTCAACAAATTTTTACGTTGCGAACTACATCCCATTATTGTATACCTATCTTGAGTGGCAGTTCTTTCATTTTTTTTTTTTTTTTTTTTATATTTTTACGTAGACTATAGTATATATGTGATTACTTTAGAACTGAAATACTCAATTGTTGTAACGACATATTTCTTATTGACCCGTTAGCCATTTTATCATTTATATTTTGATTTTCTAGCAATTGACTATGTGTAATATTTTTGCAAAAGATTTCACAAAAAAAAAAAAAAAACAAAAATTAACGTGGATCGACTGAGAAAAAAAATCTGACACGTTTCACGCAACGACGATACCAGCAAAATCGCGTGAAAAAAAAAATGCAGATCATCGTGCGCGCGTTTGGAGCACGTATTTATTCATAAACTCATCGATCATTCGAAGATCTCGAAGAGATACACTTTACGACATTTTAATCAGAGAAGGAACGCATAATGTATATCACCGTGGGCCGTGTTTTATAGTGCTTTTCATCAGTATCTTCATTCATCGAGAGAAAAATTACTCTGGTATATATATACAAGGTAAGGGATCGATGCAGCGATGCAAAAGAACGAAAAGAGCGACAGAGAGATATAGGTAGAGAAAGAGAGAGAGAAAAAGTAGAGTCGAAGTTATAGATAGGAGTATAGCAGTGAAAAGTTTAACGCTACATATAGCCTGCAGGGAGGCTAGCTATGCTGTAAGGGCATGTCGGCGAAATAGATATACAGAAAGAGAAGAGGGAAAAGAGAGGCGAGTATACAGCGCGGAGGGGAGGTCGAGAGAGAGGCGAGCATAAAGTTGATGAAAAAGCTCGCGTGTACATTAAAGACACAGAGGAGGGTGCACCCGTACACGCGAATGTGGTAGTATGGTATAGTCCCTCGTTCCAATTGGGGCTCTCTCGGTACATATATACCACGAACCTCTCTATCTCGTTGCGCGCGCGTGTACATACACGTATATGTGTACCGTGTGCACAAAAGCTCATCCCTACCTACCTACTCCTCCCCCCATTTTTATTCAGCCGCCGCGAGGGAAAGAGTACATAAGCGAAGGAGATAAGAGAGCGAGCGAACAAACACGTGATTCATGTCGGTGTACACACGCGAAAGATGGGATAGAGATGGTCAGCAGCATGCATGCATGTATAGCTGCTAGTAGTAGTAGGGAGAGAGAGAGAGTGACAAAAAGTACCCTCCAGCAGTGCGGAGTTGCGTCTCGTATACATATACGGCATCGAATGGGCGCGAATTCTAAGCCGCAAACGCGAAGCGCGTTAAAAAAAAAAGAAAATAGGGGGGAAAAAAAGTTTTCGGGTCATATGATTTTTGGGAAAAGTTTTTAATGCCTCGACTTCGTTCCGTATCTCTCTTTCTTGCTCTTACCGAGGGAAAAATATCGAATCGTCGATTGAATGATTATGGTAAAAGTATAAGATTCGCAAGTAGCTTTGTTTCACGGGGTACTTGAAATTTAGAGAAAATTTTTTTCTACGTACGCTACATTATAATCTCCGTATCGATACGGATTTTTTCCCGGCGATAAATTAATTCTTTTTTATTCTTTTCTGTCATTATACATAGCTTACAATTAGTAGTACTCGCGTTTTTTTTTCTATTTTCGCATTGTGTTTTTTGTCTCCTTGTAAATCGAGTGATATATAAATTTTCTTTTCAAAGTATTCAAATAAAGGTAGTAGTTGTATAGTAGTAGTAGTAGTATTATTATAGTTTTTTTTTTTTTTGTTCACAACTCTGATCGTTATTTACACGTATCGTTTTGATGATATGTCAATTATACATCATTTCTAAAATATGTCATCATTATTGTTCAGTTGAGAAATGCATCGAGTGTGACTTAGGAATCAAGCCTTTTTGCGCGCGATGGACTAGATAATTTTTTTTTTTTTTTTTTTTTTAGCCAAATGCCTCGTCNTTTTTTTTTTTTTTTTTTAACCGTAATTAATGATATATTTGATTTTTTTCACGTTAATCGTAAGATCCGTGTAGCATTTAAAATTTTATTATAAAAATAAATAATGTAAAACAAGAGTCGCAATGTACATCATATTACATATTAAAAGATTAAAAAACAATACGACAACGAATATCGAGTGATACATCGTATAGGAAATTTCAAATCGAAAATACACGAAGTCGTATTCGTCCCTACCAAAAAGCTATACAAACGTCACGCATTAGTAATGATATATATATAAAATACGTAAAGGAGGTCGTGGGAGCTCCCCCCACCTACACTTTAAGCGCGAGCGTGCGTAAACGATCAAGTGCACAAGATCGACGATCATCTCTGTATGGCGCGTATACTTTTTATCGTCGCCCAATGCATATGGAAACTCGAGCTCTCGATCGTGGCGGGGGCCTTTAACCCTTTATATTTTCGCGTGTTTAACCGCGCGCGATTCGACGACGCTCAAGGATCGTTAATGAAAAGTGAAAGACGAGAAGAGATGCGGTATTACATATTATATATAGAAATATGGCGCGTGTTATATGCGTATCATTATTATTATTATTATATACGAGTTAAATTATGGCACTTTCGGACGTCGTCGTTCTTCACATATCCTCTCTTCCTTTTCGCATCATCGTACTACTACTGCCGTCTCGAGTGAGCGCCCCCGTGACAACTACCAATCGTAGGCTGCTGCGTCGTCGAACTCGTGCGGCGCAGCGGTTTCTCCACTGGACGACTGGCAGGGCTTGACGCTGCCGCACCACTTGGTCTCCTTGAGAGGCGGACAGGGCCGACTGCCGCGCCGCGGCTGCACGAGGACGCGCCTGGTGCGCTGCGTCTCGCCGACGCCGCAGCTGCGGCTGCAGGCGCTCCAGGCGCCCCACTCGCTCACCTTGCAGTCCCGCGGGATACCTGCGCGAACAGAAAAAAAAAAACACAACGAGACGATTGCGTTTGTATTATCGGTGAAACATATCGATGCGTGTATAGCGTATATTGAATCTATGTAACATCGTTGCCAAAAAAAAAACTTTGAATTTGACGCTTATTCAATTTTAAAATCTCACGGTACTTTTGCGTGAAAACTTGGTTAAAAATTGCACTAGTGTTGATCATTTGTTTAATTATCAAACAAAAATAAACAAAAAAAATTTAACAAACGTGTTGCTCAAATGAAAATCTATAATCATCATTAAGGCTCCTCTATACAGCGGGACAAATACCGACATACCGATATTATTTTGTACCCATTTTTTTTATTCTCTAGACAACCTTATTAGAAACTTATAAAAATGTGCCTCCGGAGCCAGTTTTCAATAAAATGTTTAATAAAATCATTTTAACTAATTGTTTGAGAATACGTTACTTTTGAGGTTATAAAAGGGGGATAATAGAAAATCAAGTTTGTTTGAAAGTACCGGTCATTTAATTGAAAGCTGGCTCCAGAGGCACATTTTTATAAATTTCATAATCACTCCCAGGAAGTTTCAAGTTCAATGGTTGACCAGAGAATAAAAAAATGGGTACAAAATAATTACGTACTTGTTATCGACTGAGTGTGTATAGAGGGCCCTTAATGCCAGAAGCCACCACTAGGTGGCGAACACCTTTGTATATATAAATCTGCAAGTGGCAATACTAAAATAACCGTATAACTCGGAGCAAAACTAACTAATATGAATATGTTCGTGTTAATTTTAATGTGTACGTAGAATGTAATTCGCTGTACTCACGTTTCCTCGGGCGTTTTCTCTTCGGATGCAGCCGGTGACGGTGGTCCTTGTGAAATTTGTGTTGACGATGCTGCTGCTGCTGCTTGCTCGTGTCGTCCTCGGTGACGTTCTTCCAAGACACAGCGGCTGCGGTGGTGCCTCTCGAATTCAGACCCAATTTCTGCTGAATCATCTGGTTGTAAAGGTGCGCCTTTCTCGAGTTGTTGTAGAGCTTGTAGTTGAGCCACGAGGACTTGACGTCGTAGAGGGTCGGACTCTGCAGCAGTAGCTGCTGCTGATACTTGCTCGACGGTGGCGTCGAATATCTGCTCGTAGTCGTTCTCGCCGTCGTCGTCGTCGTTGTGGAGGTTGTGGAAGTTGTCGCGTTCGTGGCCGGCATCGCTTGGAAATACGACGAAGTGGCGGGATTTTGGCGCGGAAAGTTGGCGTACGACGACACGATGCTGTTTATTATCGCGGATTTGCCGCTGTCGTTGTCGCCGTTGGTCGATTTTTCCCAATTTTTGCGCTTCTTCGTGTACTGCTCGACTCCGTTGCTCACCGTCCAGTATCTAAAAAAAAAAGATTTAACAAATACGTAATCCCTCGATAAAACTCGTGCGATCGTAATATAGAGAATCGTAAGATCACCTGAATCGTTGATTATTTGCCTCGCGACGCTCCTCGCTTATGGCCTCGTTGAGATCTCGATTCTGATCGATTCCTCGCGAAGGGACCTGATTCTCGATCGACGCTTGATTTCCGTGTCTACCGCTGACGAATTCCATCTCCACGTCGTCGTCGTAGTACGTCTCCGTCAGGGTGTACTCGCGAAGCTGCGAACGAAACAGGGATATTCTTTTAGATCGATTTCGTGGCATTAAACACTTCGGACGGATTTGACTCATCCTTTCTTGAGTTTAAGTCAAAGTCGGGGTAAAAAGAATAAAAAAATGAGACAACATTAATAACTTTTTTACCGATGTGCCAGCTATAGTCGATGACGTACGGCTTTAAGTAGTATTAACATCGGGAGGTCAGACGCGACTTTGCAACGCCAAAGAATAATCCAACGTATATATTTACCAGCCAATTATTTAAAAGTAAAAACCTCAAACGAATATCCGAAGCACGGGTACACGCTATATATATACATCAACCCCAATCGGTCCCGCTCTTTGTTACTACAATTAAATGGCTGCGTGTAATTTCGGCAAACACGCGATATATCAGTCGCCTCTCGATATATTCAAAGCGTAAATCATAAAATTACGCCGACATTGATATAATTGCACGCGGCCACGCGCGCGCGGACTGCAATTGTACGGCCTTTGAAAATTAGAAGAAAATTAGCGATGAATCGGAGCATGAAAACTGCGCGGCGATAGGCAACGATACGCGAATCGATTTCGACGCGATTGATTCGCTTCAATTTTTTATACAATTAATTTCGGTAGGAGCCAACTAAATAATGCACAAAATTGGACATTGTTCGAGCGCGTGGCTCGTAGCAATTTATTATATCGGAATGTCGTTTCAATTTTTAACTCGATAGTTTGTTACGAGATGGTGTCGCATATTTTACATAGTACGTACGCATTTTCGGCATTCGATGTGCTTTATATGAAGCGAAATTTCTCTCGCGCAGGCATTATACATACATCGAGTATATAGCATATAAGACGGGGCAGCGACCATCTGTTAAAAAAGTATCAGCAGGAGCAGCAGCTCGTCGCGTCGCAGCAATTCAAACGCCATTTATATCGTAAGCCCGCGCGCGCGCGAATAATTGAAATATCTATTTTACCTTCATAAACGTCAGCATGGCTATGGGTGGCAATCTCGGCAAGTTGGGGTAGTAAAAGCTTCCAGCAGGATGAGCCGGAAAATGTGATGTGATTCTGTAGGCGGTTCCTTGCGGCTGGGTCGGCCAATTGGCCGCCGTGAAAGTGAATCCGTTATCCGTGCCGCCGTCCAAGGGATCCAACTATACACGGGCAAAATAAATTGGCGTTTACAATATTTTTTTGCACAAACGAGGTTTTTCCTTCGTCGCTACGTTGCGCTAGGAACTTTATCGTTGTTTTATTTTCATATAGCGATCGCAAAATTCGAGTCAAAGTCCCTGGTAGAAATGTTCAACATTTTATGGCGCTTCGCTTTTTTCTATATTTAATGACCATTTTTTTACTTTGAAAATTCGGGCAAACGACACTTTGACTCATACCTATTTATAAAACGTTCTTTGACTTATATAATTATTTTGACTTTGCCATTTGCAGGTTTGCAGATTAAGGTACTAGCCATCTAGTGGCAGAGACTTAAATTAAAGCGATTAAAAAGAATTAAATGGTCATTTTTGAGTCATTTAAAATACACTTAATGTTTTATCAAGTCCATTATTTTTCAATATCAAACATTTCTACCAGTCATCATCATCGTATATCCACTGCCCGTCAATTACTTTTGCCATACATAAGCGAAAAATGAGTAAACTTCAAAGTTTCGTAGCTCAGCCAAAAAAATTCGTATTGACAATTTGAACCCGCCATTCGAAAGGTATTTTCTAGCACTTTAAAGCTACATAAATTGTTATTAGGTTCATTCATTTATTTATTTATCAATTTTTATTAACAATTAACAAATCAAAAATATTGCTTTTTTTTGCCTTCGCTATTTCTCTTGCCATTTTAGTTATAATTGTTAATAAAAATTGATAAATAAATAAATAAACCTAATAACAATTTATATAGCTTTAAAGTGCTAGTTCGAATGGCGGGTTCAAAATGTCACTCCGACTTCTTTCCACCGAGCTACGAAACTTTGAAGTTATACTCATTTTTCGCTCAGGCACGCGGCAAAAGTGATCGACGGGGACAGTGTATATATACGTACCTCAACGGTGACGCTGTCGATCCAATTGCCGGCCACGCAGAGCTGAAACGAGTCGAGGCCGATGAACCAGTCGGGGCTCGGGTTCATGCGCGCGAACAGACTGACGAGGGTGTGATTGGCGTCGAGGAAGGCGCGCGCGCTGCTCTGGCCCTCGCCCTGGCCGATCGCCGGGCCGGCGAACGAGTGCAGCACGCTGCCGTAGGTGGTGGGCGTCGTTCCGTCGCCGTCCAGGCCGTCGGTGCGGCCCGTCTCGACGAACTGTCGCGCGCCCGGCGCCAGACGCTCGCCCAGCCGGTACAGCACGAAGCTCGGGCTGTGCGTTCGACCTGCGTGTGCAAAATTCAATCGATGATATATGATTTTTAATGGTTGTTATATAATGTGCAATTAATTATCCGATTAACTTATTCGTAAACTCGAGTCGAACTTTTAAAAGTGCATTTCACTGGTATTTTTTATTTATCAAGGGGACCAACCTGTGTTAAAAGCTTAAATTCAGCTTCAGCTAAAAATAGCTATATGAATCGAAATAGTGGAAATTTTTTTTTTGTGATAGTAAAGTATGTTCATTCTACACCAGATTGACCAAAAACAATTTCTACCCAAGCTCTGAAATACCAATTACATCACTTTTTTCATAAGACGAAATATTGTGTTATAAATCACATGCCGCATAAAAGAGTTTTTCATCAATATTGATCTATGGGGTCTCAAAATCTTCAGAAAAGTACTCTCGTCCACCTAAGCGGAGCAGAATTTTGAAAAATTGCGTACAACTTTATATACACGTCAAAATGTGCCAATTTTTGAGAAAATTAGTATTTTATCAACACTAGAAGCCATATTAAAGCTCTTGGAAGAAAAACAAACTTTTTTTTTCAAATTCTGCTCCGCTTAAGTGGATGAGGGTACTTTTCTGAAGATTTTGAGACCCCATAGATCAATATTGATGAAAAGCTCACGTCAGAATCGCGTGGCAAGTGAATCCTATTATAATATTTAGTATTATGAAAAAATAAGCGTAATTGGCATTTCAGAGCTTGGATAGAAGTTTTTTTTTGTCAATCAGGTGTCTAATAAACATATTTTACGATCACAAAAAAAGAATTTCCACTATTTCGATATAAATAGCTATTTTTTGAATTTAAGCTTTTAACACAGGTTGGTCCCCTTAACTACTATAGATTATTGACAAAAGTTCATTATTCCATTTATCATATTATTTTTTTTAATCATATATACCTCTGAAATAGTTCGTTAATCTTGTGTCAGATACAAGGGCATTTTTATACCACGAGGCAGTAGCAGCAGCAGCAGCAGCTCCTATGGCATGATGGCCATTTAAAGGGGGGAAATACCTAAAGGAAGGCAGAACACACAGGCGCTCGGCAGAGATGAATGTATGAAAATGCGCTATATACCGCGCCGAGGAAGAAGAGAGAGAGAGAGAGAGAGAGGACGGAAGGAAAGGGTGGTCGAGTGGCGCGCAGTTTGCTGCGATAATTTAATGGCAACTGGATCTTTCAAAAACAGATCGCAGGGCTCGAACTATATGCTAGGTAGGTAGAGGTATATATATATACCTTTTGGCGTTGCTGCTGCCGCTGCTGCTGCTGGCCGCGGCAGAGAAAACAATAATTTATCACGCCCGAGCCTGTCAAAACATCTTACGAGATTTTAAACTTTGAAATTTACAGCGCGGCGCGGGCCCTTGTGCCGCGTGAAGTGTTTGCGGAATAATTGGAATTATAAGAATAAATTATACAATATTAATAATCCTCGTTGAAGGAAAAAGAGAATAACGTCGTCGTCGTCGTGACGCGAATCGAGATGAAAAAATGTTTTCTACTCCTTTCGAGCAAAGATATCGAGTAGCCAATTTTAAACGTGGCAAGAGTGAAAAAATCAAGCTTCATTTTTTCAATAATATCAAGCCCTGTTACTGTATAATTAAGTAGCGCGGATTATTTTTGATAGGATCGCTATATCGGATATTATATTAAAGAGCTTGTTGCTCTTGGGCGTGATTCGATTGATTTTGCCTCGCAGAGAGTAATACGCCGAGAGATGATGAAAGATTGTTTCTTCGGTAATTTGCCTATTATATAGGAAAGTTCGCAAGTATTCTCGACGCATAAATACTTCAGAACTGCCGCTTATTACTTCGAAACTTGGGATATTTATTGGGATTTTAAGAATTGAGCCATCGGCTCTTCTTCGTGCTCTCTCTCTCTTCGGGAGCGGCGCTGAAAGGTATATTGAAAAAAAAAAAAAAAGAAAGACGAAAAAACAAACAAACCATCCGACGGTTTAAATGAGTCTCTGGCATGAAAACTAGGAATCTCATTTTTTTTCCCCTTCGTAATATCGAAAATGCGCGCATTTTTACATTATTGACCATCGCTCGGATCGAGGGAGAAAATTCCACTGGTTAACGCGCCATTGATAAAAAAAACACAATCGGAGAGATACGGCAGGAATTCTATTATTGAATAAGCAACGCGCTCCGCACCGTGTATATATATATAGTCACGAGTTATTTTTCAAGGGCCGCGAAACGTATGGTATACCATATACGGTCAAGTCAATTGTGCAGAAATTTCATCTCTCGAGCCGTACCTTTTTTTTTTTTTTTTTTTTTATCAGAGTCATTGAATACTTTATTCGCAATTATGAATTTTACAGCGTTTTTCGCTACTACACTCCGCGTATACCGCTGCCGCTATTTTTTGAAATATTTCGCAGCAAAGAAAATCAGTCACAAAATTACATCACGGAAAAAGCCCCCCCTCCCCTACCGAACCTGCGGATAACGCTATTTTGCCCGGAGTGCAACAAATCTTTAGTCTACTACTATACACTAGCTCAGCAGCAGCAGCAGCAACGCCGAGCCGAGCTCTCTCACGTGTGCTTTAATATGGATGAATAAACCGAGTATATATATGTATATATACGTATTCTCCGGAGAGTGGAGGAAGGCAAAGTAAAAAAAAAAAAAGGCAGAAAAAAAAGGAAAAAGTAGTAGGTGGCCAGCGGCGCACAGCTCGCTCTCTTTTGTTTGAAGTTCAATCGCCCTTCAGCATTTTTTTCCCTTTGATAAATATTCGCGCACACCCCCTCGCGCGCAAGCATTGTCTGCTCGCGCGCAAGCCACGCGACTGATCATTCCTTTTTTGCATTTCGCTCGTGTGTGCGTATATACGAGGATCTTTTGTATTTTCTCGATCTACCGATGTCGAGGCTTAATTGCGCGCGTAACTGATAAATGCAGTATATGGATGGATCTTCGTGTACACCATTGTGCACTACGTAGTGTTTTTTAGTATCGTCGTTGTGGAATGGCTGAAAGATAGAAGAAGACTTCACTTGTATAGTTTCCTCTTACAACTTGCAAAATTCTCCGCATAATAAATTAGCTGACTGTGCCGACGTATTGGTCTTATATTATTGCGTACTATTGAAAATGTTGGCTACGCGTTTACGAGGTATCACATAGTGCGCCTCGTACCGGCTACATCGCTTACTATTTATTCGATCATTATTATCATTGCGAAGAGAGCAGATGTCTAAATGCGATACTTTTCTTGTAAAATGATAACAAATAATTATATTTTTTTATTTTAACAATTAAGGATATGAAGATTACCCTCAAAGATGTCGAAATTCGCAAAGAGATCTTGAGAGAGAAAAATTGCGAACGTCGTAATTTTTAATTTAAATGTGATCGATCTTTCAAAAAAAAAGAACGTTAACACGACCGGAACAAAAGTAACCGGGTATTGGTACAGTCATCAATGTATACGGAAGAAAGTGCGATTCTTATTTTATTGATTGTGTTGTGAAACTTCTCATGACTCGTTGCATAGGGTAACGAAATAACGAAGATTTTGTGCTTCGTTCGAACGTTGTCAACGGCCGACGCTCATTGAAAGTCAAGATTCAGTTGGTCTCCTGCATGGCTCGTAGCATGAGCCAATGCCGCGCCACTGAATCAAAACGTCGTCGCGTGACTCTGTCTCTCTTGAGCTCGCTGACGCTCACACTCGTGCTCGTGCTGTGCCAAGTGCGTGTTCGTACGTGTCGCGGATCGCTCGTCTCGTCGTCAAACAACAGAAAAACGCACAGTGCTCGCGCCTTGTATTGCATAGATCGCATTGAATTTGCACGTGCACCTAACCTATATCAAGTGCAAATCAAGACGCCGTGGCATAAACAACAAAGAAAGATCGCACATCGACTGCAACAATCGGTGATTAAGAGTGAAAAATATTTCATATTTTTTTAGTGACTGTGTGCTGTGCGCGTGTGTAAGTGTGCGTAACTATGTCCAACGGCGAGTCCGACATATATTGCCCCAATGGCGGTGTCGGAGACCAGTACGATTTCGATTCCGAAATTGAGAAGCATAATGAGATAATCAAGTATCATAGAGAGATAGTCTCGAACTTGGAAAAACTCAAGAGAATGCGTGACATGGTCATTCAGGATATGAAAAAAGATGAAGACGATTTTGTCCCTAACATTCATTCGTTAATCAGCGATTGGGAGGGACAATATCCAAATTTTCGAAAGATGCTCCGTCCCCAAGAAATGGATTGGCTTCTCTCAATGTGTGTAGAGGACGAAGATGTGATCAATTTCGTGATAAAATCCGGCTACAAAGACGAGCCCGAGATAGACGCAGACGGCAAGCCAATGTTGAATCGCAGCACACCACTGCATGGTGCAGTTGATGAATTTTATGATGACAGCCTCATCCGTAAACTTTTTGAAATATATGACAGGTTCGATATTAATTACATTAACGAAGATGGATACACACACTTTCACGCTGCATGCCAGTTTGGCTGTGACGATATCGTCCAGAAATTCCTCGAACTCGGCCAAGATCCGAATCTCCTCACGCTAAAAACAGTCGAGAGGCAAAAAAAAGAAGACGAAGGTGATGATGATAATGATGATGATGAGTTATCACTTTATCCTCCGCTTCACTTAGCCCTGGAATGGAACCACAGAAAGGCGGTCGAATTGCTGCTAAAAAATGGCGCCAATCCGAATCTGACCGATGCAAAGGGATTGACGCCTCTGCACATCATTGGCGGGACGGCCGACGACGAGAACGGATTGGCGGAATTTTTCTTCAAGATCTGCGACGAGCTCCAGCACACGGTACAAATCAACGCCCGAGACAAGTTGGATAATGCACCATTGCACATATCGTTAGATAAACAAGACCTCAGAATCTTGCCGGAGTTGCTGCTAAGAAGAGGTGCGAATCCAAATTTAGCTAACGAGCAAGGAATGACACCTCTGCATAACATTTGCA